GTTATTGTGCTGAGTAACTCAAAAGTAAGATAAGTAGTATAAAAGTTACTTTTTCTGATGACTAATTACATAACGTACTGCATCGATTTTAAGAAAAGTAATGAGTAATGTATAACACGTTACCTTTTTTTTTTTTAGAGTAACTACTCCAGCGCTGGTAAATACAGATGTAGGTTTAGGGTCTGAAAGGTGAATTCAAAGCCTTTAACCTGAATTCTTTCTGAAAGCCAGCAGAGGGCGACTCCTCTGGTTGCAAAATATACTTTAGAATTGTATACAAGTCTATAAGTAAAAATGACACCTCTTATCAGTTCATTTGTGACCTCTGTAAATTGTTTCCTGATGTGGTTATGATCATAATCTCTGAGAGTCTTACTGGAAATAACATGAAGTGAACAAAGTAAAGTAAAGTAGGTGATTTAAAACGTGGCTGCTGTACCAGCATGCAGTGTCCTCAACAAAAACGCTCAAGTGAAGCACTCACATCAGGACACGGGGCCATTACAATCGCTACATCCATCCTTTATAAACAGTTGATGACAACAACCATAAAAGATGAGTGATGAGTCTGTCAGCTACAGACTGATCTATTTGTGATGAATCACAGGACGACCTTTCAAAAACAGTCATGTGATAAACATTACTTGCCCAAATAATGCAGGAACCATAAACGCCAGGTGTCAGCACGCGGTCGGCCTGCTCAGCTGGAGTAACTGCAATCTCGCCTTTTAGATTTTTTGTGTCTCTTGGCTTGCACACATTATTTAATTCATGTTCTTCTTCTGTTTTTCTATCTGCAGCTGAAGCTGTTGAATCTGTACATCAAGCGCGCCCAGTCCGGCACCACCGGCAACGAACCCTCAACCGAGGGCCTATAGGATACAGAGCGCCGTCCCACAGGGCAACTACAGAACTGCAGCTATGCCCACCCAACATAAACCATCTGTTCATGAGAACACAGCAACACAGACTGAGAACAAAGCATTCACAGGAGCAAACTACATACACCACACACACAGCTGTTAGGTACACACAGTCATCACACGTGCAGAGAAGAGTCGTAGTTCTGCTCGCCATTTCTTAGGATCCCTTCTGACTGAACTGAACCCTCAAACTCGGATTAAACTTAAACAGACATGCAGTCACACCCTCCACAGGTTTGTCACTACTCACTCAAGGATGAAGATATTAAACGCCCGTCCTGTCCGCGCCGCTCCATATCCACAACACAGTCCCTCTGAACAGCATCTCGAGGTCAACAGGAAGTGGTGCATCTGCATGGTTCTCATTTCCCTGGGCGGTAATATTCCTTCAACGGTGCTGTCTCCTCGTTTCCTTCTCAAACACTCATTAACTTGGGGGAGGGGGTCGCCAGGTAGACGGGAATGTAATTTTACATTGTGTCATAGTTTGGATTTCTTTTACGCAGAGAGGTTTTACTGCAGTGGTTTTTAATACCCGGAGTTTTCTCTCTCACTCAGACGTCAACACGTGTTTCAAAAAGGTGCTGATGAGCCTGAACGGTACGACCGGCCGACCCCAGCACACACAGCACTAACACGAGTCAAAGTGGGTCCTGCCTGCTCATAGCAAATACAGTACATACAGATTCCAAAGTTTAGGAGGCGTTATGTGCTTGGCTATGCATGAGACAAAATTTAAAAGATTAATAACTTTTTATTGGGGTCTGTTGTCAGAGTGCTCTGACTGGGGTTTTAAATTAATGTGAACAGTGTCCGCCCCTTTCAGATAAATCCATGATGTCCTCCATTTCTCCCATCTCGCATCAGTTCTGGGCAACACGTGGAGAAAGATGGCTGCTTACTACATGAAGTATGACAGGACATGGCTTATTATCACATAGTGGATATGTATCTATATATGATATTAAAATGGAGTATCCAAATAACAGTGTCATTCAGGGGAGTTCCCCAGAGGGGGGGTGCACGCGCGCACCTGTGCCCATCCTTGTTTTATTTTTATTTTTTTCCCTCTCTCTCTCACACACTTATTTTGTTTATCTCTGCTGAGAAATTTGTAGAAATGTATTATTTACAGCTCTGGAAAAAAAGAAACAAGTCATGTGTCACTTTTCTCCTGTTCGTGTCTTTCTTTCCTTCCTCTTCTTGTAACATTCTAGTTTTCACTGTTGTTTCCTCCGTGCATTTACAAAGCTGTGCTTACAATAAAATAAAGAACTTGTACAGATCATGATAAGCCCCGCCTCTCTTCATTTCTGCAGCATAAGAAAGTCCTGCGGTAAGGCGGTGAGCAGAAATACAGTGCATGGGTGGGTCTGTACCTCCTCACGGGAGTGTTGTTCATGCAATTCAAGAGAATAGATCTATTAAATGCTAACAGAATGTTGCAGTTTATCTGATCCAGGATCAGTGATCAAACCTCTACAGTATCATAAATATTTCGTAGTCCCTTAAAGAGTCCCTTCATCCCAAATTTACACAGTGTGACTGTGTCACAACCACTCAATTTCAGCAAACACCTCAGTATGAAAGCATCAAAAATGCAAAATTACTTTACTGATTAATATTTAGCAGTTATTTTATTCTAAAACAATTTTATTCTGAGCTGCACAGGTGATCCGTTTTATGTTTGTTTTGCAAGAAATTGGTGAAAATGTGCGTCAGGATTTTATCCTTGCTTTGACAAACCAATCAACACCTGGAGTTCAATTTACTGTCCAATAAAGCAGTGGGTTTTCCAGCTGTCGCTCTTCCGCAAAGAGTAGCAGCAGGTGGGAGATCGTGGACTTGTTAAGAAACGTTAAGAAAGTGGGCTAATCCACACATGGAATAAAAGATAACATTTAGGTCTTATGCAACATAGCTATTTGTGAAACTGGTGCTATATTTCATGTATGCATCTGTCCTCTGGGCTGTAAATTTAGGAACAGCTAAAGAGAGTCCCAGATACTGTCTGACCTGTAAAACCCCCTGGCCTTGCTGCACTCATCTACAACCTGCCAAGACCCTGCAGTTCATACTGAGTCTGTCTTCAAAACAATTCCCAACTCAGGAAAACATATCAGTTACACTGTTGAAGATGGATGTGGTATACTTTAGCAGTTTTACATACTTAAACTCAAAATCAACTCTGGTGTTTTGCATCTAACACCTAACCATGGTAGTTCTCTGGCTTGGAAATCTTGACTTTTTGACAGTTTTCTGCATAAATTGGCCTTAATTTCCTAGAACAAGAAGACCTTGTTATGAAAAGTGGGTGTTATTGGTCGGAAAGGAAGGTTTGTTTTTGGACTTTCCATGATTTCCCTGAACTGGGGTGCATGTAGCTCTTGGGCAAGGTACTAACCCCAAGTTATCTAACTCCAATCCATCTGTCGGAGTATGAATGTGTTGGAATGTTGGATAGAAAGCACTTGAGCAGGTGGAGTAGACACGTGCTAAATGAGAATCAGTGTATTTACTGTAACGGTTCTTTTTGCAGGGTGAAATGATTGTTCAGCATACATCTTTAAGGACTTTAGTTACAAAGAAATGCACAGGTTTAAGTTTATTTGGGATATTCTGTAAACCATATAAGGTGATGTGTCACTAATATTTGGTGAATGTCCTTTAGTGAGTCGCACCTCAACTACACTCTCTTGGTAGGCATCAACAAGCTTCTGGTGTCTGGTATAGCGTTCATTTAAATCAGTTGGTTTCTTGGTAAGGATCTGGCTTTTAGGGCTCTTTCACAAATGTTCAATAGGGTTGGGTTGAGGCTATAGGAAAGCCTACTCCAGCAATGTAATGTCACCCTACTTTATCTATTACAAAGCCAGTTGTCGTGTGTGTTTGGGATCATCCTCCTGTTGGAACACCTAACTGTCTTCAAGTTTCAACCATCTAGATGTTGATTTGAGGTAAAGTTCTAGGTAATTTGTCTAGTGTACTACTGGCAACAAAACAGCCCCAGAGCACGATGCTACCACCACGATGCTTTACACTTGGTAGTGTTCTTAGGCGTAAAAGCCTCACCTTTATTCCTCCAAATGCACCTGGTGTCATTGTGACCAAATAGCTTCAGTCTTGACTTGCCTGATCATTGCTTCTTTAACCAACACAGCAGTTTTCAGTTGTGCATTTATGTAACTAGAGTTACATGATAAATTTGCTTTTGTTGACACTAAATGTGGAACACATGAGTGATGACTGCTAAAACGGCCTCTGTACACCTATATACATACTGAATTTTAAAACATTATTTATTACATTATTCAAATGTACAAGAATTGATTTTTTTATTGTAGTAATTACTGTATTCATATATTTTTAAACTGAAGGGGGGATTTTTTTTATTCGATTTTTTTTACAAGCTGTCCATTGCAAATCCTTAATTTAAAATGAACAAGTGTTATCCAACACTTATGTAACATGAATTTTAGTTCTGTCAATGCTAGACAAGTAAAGTTACTCCCTTGTGTTTTTTGATGTTTGCATATTTGGTGTTGACTGTCGTGTGTTTATGTCCATATTCTGAATTTCCTGAGTCAGACAGAAGGACTTTAAGTCATGAGGCGGGCCTCCCCTCCACCTCCCCCTCCCTTTCAGGGCCAAAATAGCGTGTGTGCCCCACTCAGAAAAACAGACTTGACAGTGCGCCACGTCCAGGGTCCGAGCGGTGCGTAATTATTGACCAGAGAGTGCAAAAGGTCTGCAGCCATCTTCTGTGGACTGGACTCTTCTTCTTGCTCGACACTGACATGAATGAAACACTGATCTCCCGTTTGGACCTCGTCGTCGGAACCGGGCCGAGTGGTGTTTATGTGCAGGAGAAGTGAGGAGAGGGCTGATGAGACGCGATGTTGTTCTGGCAGCCGTACACTGAAAACTTCCGAGCCCCCCTACAGAGACAGAACAGCGGCTATACGAGGTATCCGCTCATGTACACCTCAAATGTAAATGTTTGGTTTAGTTTATATCCTCACAGTGTGGGTGTTTGGAGCAACAACAACAACAATACCTGTTAATAAATCTCTCTCGGTGAAAAGGTCAGCGCCCTGTCGCTGTATTTGCATCAGAGATATAACATTATTTTTATGTGACACTGAGGGGTGTTTGCATGCCCACAGGGTTCATATTTGTTGACAGTAACGACTTTTTGTAGATATGTGTTATAGTTTCGGGGAGGCAGAGCGCAACTATAGTTGGACACAATGACGGAAGCTCGAAGGTTGCTGATTGGCTAATAATTCTGCGCTGGGCACAGAGGGTGGCCTCTGATTGGCTGGACTCAGTCTTTGGCATCCTTCCCGAGGCTGGTGGTGGCAGCCCTGCGGGCTTCAGAGACCGACAGTCTGTGTGCTGAGGGAGCCATGTTGATGCTCGGTTTTGTGTCAAACGCTTCATTTTGGATGGTTAACGGACTGCGTGTTAAAAATAAGGAGCCCCGGCGGTGATTCCAGCCCCGCGATGAGAAGAGGAGCGCGGAGTGGGATGGTAGAGGGAGCGCCAGAGGAGAGCCGCTCTTAGGTCACCGGACGTAGTTGAAAGCAAGTGAAGTTGATGCTAGTTAGCTTCATAGCGCGGTAGCAACAGCTGGTGCGGGGCGCTGCGTGGGATGCGGTGTGTGGATTAAAACGATATTTTTCCTCCCTCTGCTTGTGTCGTTCTGCTGAACAAACGTCGGTCGGACTGTATGAAGACTCGATACTTGAAACAACAAAGGCGCTGCTGAATTCAGGCTAGCTTGCTTAAGCTTCCTTTTCAAAGCTAGCTGTTAGCTAACATTAGCATGCTGACAGTCAGCTCGGATCTTCAGTCACGACTAACTATTTACTCGCTGAGTGGGTTCTAGGTTACTTTCAGGCAGTCTGCCTGTCTTGGAGCATCCCTTTGTGCGAAAATAAACTCTCAGAACTCGAGTGGAGATATGGCAATGCATCCAGTCTCTGTGGAAAGCTACCGGTTCGCCTGCCCAGCTTGCCAGGGAGCGGCTAGCGGGCTAGCAGCATAACTTTCCTCTCACGGGTGTCATTCAGAAGCTGCAGAGCTCACTTCCTCTATAAGCCGACCTCTCGTACCTGAAGCAAGCTGGCGGCCATCCGAGTAGAAGCCGAGGACAAGGAGCTGGGGCCGATGGCCTGGGTGCTGAAGATGGACGACGCCACCATCGAGTCGGGGCTGGTTCACGACTTCGACGCCAGCCTGTCCGGCATCGGGCAGGAGCTGGGCGCTGGAGCCTACAGCATGAGGTTAGAGAGACTGAAGACAACATGCCAGTCCCAGCTTCAGTGGGTCGTTGGCAAGAATAGCTCTCTGAGTGTTAACATTACAGCCCCCCTGGGTGTGTTACTCCCTTTGTGCTGGGTGTTATGGTTTCTCTTTGTTTTGGGATTTGGAGTCGAGCAGTCACTGCGGGGTGCCACGATCAGGGATGAAGATTAATTTCTCTAAACACACACAAAGACAGGGAAGGGGACACGTGTCATACTGCCAGGGACAAAGATGTTTTGTTTTGTTTTTGTTTTGTTTTTTTTTTATCAGTCTGCACTGTTTCTCAATGCACGCATGCTGTCAGGACATGGGTAAAGTTTTTGTTACATCCAGGAAGTCAGGAAGACACTGTTCTGGTTTTAAGAACAGGTCTGTGGCTTTGTTTCTCATAATCAGGGTTATGTGAAAACAAGTGGCTGCACATGTCTAGGCGGATGGGACTGAATTTAGACTCTTTTTAATGGAGCTGTTCTATGTTATAAATGAAATTGTTTACCTGCTCTTGACCTCTCTAAGCAGTGATCCATGATCAAATGTTTTTAGTCTGAATATTTTAACTCTGTTTGACATTTTTGAAACTCTTGCTTTCCTCCCGAATGATTTTCCTCAGAAAATGTAGCAGCAATTTAGTCACTGTAAATACACTTAGTTTAATGTATCTTTTAATGTATCACTAGCACACCATCATGTTTGGCCCATTTGTTTTTGGGGGTGCGTGTGACTCCAATAGTATTGGAAATCAAAAATTTATTTATGTATTTATTTCTCATTGCATGGTTATATTTATCCTAAAACTGTTTCACCACACAGGCAGTCCATAAGCATACTACATCTTTTTTAGTGGTGTTTCACCAGCAGCAAACTTAGATTGAACTGTTGGGAGTCTGGTGACTCTGAGATGTTGGACCCATTTATTTTATTAGAGGAACATGTCTCTTCAGATCAATGCAGAGTTAGTTTTTCAATGACAATGACCCACAGCTTATAGCAGTCCTATGCTATAACCTTTACACTCATCTGATCTTAGTCCAGTTTAAATGTCTGTGCCGTCTTGTACCAAAGACCACCATCAACAGACCAAATAAGGGAGTGTCTTTTGGAATATTGGCATTCATCCCTGCAGCAGATTTCCAGAGAGCTGTAAGATGAATGCCAGCATGTGGAGGTTTTCAGGTGTTACTGGCCCAACCCCTTATTTAAACACATTGTGTTGGTTTTTGCCAAAATATCTCACCTGCCTGTACACGCAGAGGCCAATAAACATGCAGTCTAGTAACAAATTTTATCTTCATAGTTCTGGTTTTAATATAATAACAAGCCAGTTTGTCCCTGGTTTCTGGTTAGTCAGGTTATTCCAGCATTTATGCTGATGGTGCATATTTACACTGGCTGGGCAGCACTACTTGAGAATAATCTGTCTGCAGAGGATGCATGTGCATTTCCTGCAACTGTGCTGTCATAGTACATCCGACAAGGGGACGAGAACCTCTCTGGGGAAGCAGCTGAATGATGGTGTGAACTGTCACAATACCAGTACAGGAAAGGTTGAGACTTGCTGGTCATTAGTCATTGGATTTTCCATTTTGGGGGGCGGGTAAATAAATAAATTCCTAATGTTTAAAAGAGTCACCAAATATATCTTGAAGTCAATATGTGTGGAAAGACTGAGCTGAGTAACTTTGTTATAAACCACCTGTTCAATTAGTAATTCTTAGTATGCGTGCACTGTTATGTAACAGGTTAATGGGAGGTCGTGATATTTGCATGATGAAGGTAAGCCCGCCGAGGGCATACATGTGCTTTATCTGCATCCGTCTGCTTTTAGCGTGTGTTTATCTGAGCATGACGTAGGTGTGTGCCTGTCGCTTATGTGTGTAAGCAAGATTACTGGTATTCAGGGGATGGTATGTATTGACAGTATTAGTTTGTGCTTCAGACATACTGCTGTCTGTCTGTGGTGCAGGGGTGGGTCGTGGGTGTGTTTGGAGTCAGCAGCCGATGGGAACAGAATGTCTCGGTGTTATTCAGTGGAACGAGCTCCTCAGATTTCAGGAAGCAGATGCAGTTTTCGTGGGCAGCATGGTTCAGCTGGGCTGTGGCACCCATGTTGGTGCTGCCTGGGCTCGCTCGCTCTGCAGAGAAAACACACCGGCGAGTGATTGAGAGAAAGCGATACGGGGCAGGATAAATCTAGCAGGCAGCTGTTTGAAAGACTTTGTTGTTTTGAGGAAGGTGCTGCAGGAATTATTTAAAATTTGGTAAGGTGGTTTTAGTTTGGCTCCAGATTAGTTTTCCAGGTAATGAGATGCCCTGATCTACATATCTTTGCACAGATAGGACTTCTTTTTTTGCACATGCACACACTCCTCACGCTTCTCTGTGCCCTCATTGACACTCCCACAGCATTTGTCAGGGTGAGCCAAGTACGGGAACGTTGTCTAGAGTGGCTGCCAAGCGTGAGAGATGGTATATGTCAGCAGCTCAGGCTATCTCTGGGTGTTTCTGTTCATTTATCCTCCTGCGGACTCATGCATACATAATTAGAGAGACAGTTTGATCGATGGATAGTCTTCGTCACTTATTCTAAAAAAAGGTGATCCATTGAATTATTCCACACTGTGACAGGGAAATATTGCCCAACTGAAAGTGACATATCAAGAGTGAAGTGAGAGAGTTTAAATCACACAAACATTTGAGAGAAGGTCGTCCAGTACTGATGAATAAATACACAATTTCCTTTGCCTTCAGGAGGGTCACAGTGATTATGTTGTCATCAGGATGGAGCTCACATGGTGCTGGAGATTCAAACTAACTTTGAGACAAAAGCTAGTTGAAAAATATTGAGGCCAGTGCCAAGGAAAATACGCCAAATCAGCTCCTAACAGGGAAAACTTGTCGCTCACAACTGTTCTTGTATTGTTGTTTTTTTGTTTTTCCCTCGCTGACTTGTTTGTCTCTATCTCGCCCCTCCTAGTGATGTGCTGGCTCTGCCAATCTTTAAGCAGGAGGACTCCAGCCTCCCTCCTGAAAATGAGACCAAAAATCCCCCATTCCAGTATGTGCTGTGCACCGCCACCTCGCCCGCTGTCAAGCTGCATGACGAAACGCTCACATACCTAAACCAAGGTGAGACCTAAAGAACGGCAGGTGATTTTGGGAGGGGGGTTGTTGACCCGGTTTTACACGACCCAGTTTGTGTTGCATGGCTGCCTGTCAACAATCCAACGTCAATAAATAATGAGCGCATTAATTTAATGCATTTCAGTGGGATCAATGTAAAATGAAACTCTTACTGATGTGAATGCCAGCCTTGTGTGCCCTCGACGTGACACACTAAGATCTGCCTATTACTGAAATGTATTGTAATGCACGTTGAATGCATAACAAGACGTTATGATTCCAGGTTATTTAATATATCAATACACACAGTTTTTATTTATTTAAACACAGCTCAGGGGCCTTGTTTTACGGTGGTTTGGTCATACAGGTGAGATTTTGTGGTTTTTCTTGGAAAAAGTTGTTTTGTTTTGTGTAACACTGTACTGCCCTCCAAACACTCCATTACCCCCACTGACTGTTACTTTCTCAGTGCATTAATAATGATTATCTGTCCAACTCAGTGTTTTATTTGCTTGTTGTTTTTTTTACAAGTTAACTTACTTTTTTATTAGAATTGTTTTGTATGAAAACAAAACCAGCAAAGTAAGAAATTCATCATATGGTCTAAACGTCTGTTTTCACTGTGCATATAACAATAAAATATCATAATAAAGCCTGTGAAGGAGTTTGATAGAGAGCAGGGTCAGGTATTTTCTGATCGTTGGAGATTATATTGCTCATATTGTAGTGATAGAAAGTACCTTGAGGAGACTGTTGGTGTGAAGTCATGTTATATAAATAAAGCTGGATTAAATTGCATGTAATTAAACTGGAGTGAGCATGAATAAACAAAATACCTGAGCGGTGTCTTCACAGGTCAGCCTGTGCAGTGTGAGCATTTGTGCTAATTTTTTAGGAAAGACGGTTTACTTGGGCATGCATGTGTTTTTGTCCGTTTCAGACAAACTGAAACATAAACCACTGCAGCAGTTACACAACTTTATACCACACTGGGGTGATTTTACAAAACGTCAATCAAGAATTAAAAGGCAAATTTTCCTTCAGGTGTGATCATTTAAAGAGTATAAAATGCAAGCTGTCTCCACAGCAGCACTCAGAGGATTCTGTATCTACTTTTTTGTGTTTTTGGTCTTTGTTCCTGGAAGTTTGATATGGTTAAACTCTGTAACTACAGAGTCGATAGGCAGACCAGTGAGAGAGTTCAGGATTTATCATAAGGGTTTTGTTTGCATAGCACTTATCACAACTAGCATTTCAAAGTTCTTTACACAAAGTGCAATAAAACACAGTCATGTGTGACTAAACAGGCAGGAGTCGGAAGTTAAACTATAACAATAAATTACTAAAAGAACGTTGGGTTTTTTTTGTTTGGTTTTTTTAAAAGGACCTTAAATGTGATAACATCAATATATAATGCTCACAGTAAAATAATCAGAAGTTGTAATAAGTAATCCAAAAATGAGTTTTAGTGCCATTAAATCCCAGTATTGAGTGTTTCATCAGAGGAACCATTCCTGCAGTGTCATTCATAAATTTAATGAATGAATTTACCTTTTATTGAGTGTGTTAAATTCAAATATAAGTATACACTCATTGTTCCTTGTTAAATCTTTCCTTTTTTTGTTGTTGTTGTGTTTTGTTTTGTTTGTTTTTTTTAATGTTCATCTACTCTCACTCAGGCCAGTCTTATGAGGTGCGTATGTTGGACAACAGGAAGCCGGGGGAGTTACCGGAGCTCAACAACAAAATGGTGAAGGTGAGAGGATCCTCACAGCTCGAGGACAATCATGCATCTGTCTGTAGACGGGACACTTTATATCTAATGTGTGTGTCTGTGTGTGTAGAGCATAGTGCGAGTGGTGTTTCACGACCGTCGGCTGCAGTACACAGAGCACCAGCAGCTGGAGGGATGGAAGTGGAACCGTCCTGGCGACCGTCTCCTTGACATCGGTAAAGATTCCTGCCGAGAAATGTTTGCTTAGACTGTCCCGGTCATGTGTGTGATTTGTAACTCAAATATATCTGTGTGTGTGTGTGTGTGTGTCTGTGTCTGTGTATCAGATATCCCCATGTCAGTGGGCATTGTGGAGCCAAAGACTCACCCCTCCCAGCTGAATGCTGCAGAGTTTCTGTGGGACTTGAACAAAAGAACTTCTGTGTTTGTGCAGGTAACACTCAGACATCCTCTGACACTCATTCAAACCACAGAGAGACACACACAAATACATCCTCTCTCTTTGAGCCACCTGCTCAGCGTGCTGCTGAATTTCCACATCAAACACGTTTTGACTTCATCGTGTCTACCCGCCGTCTGCAGGTGCACTGCATTAGCACAGAGTTCACTCCCAGGAAGCACGGTGGAGAGAAGGGCGTCCCCTTCAGGATCCAGATCGACACGTTCGCCCTCGGAGACGGCGGAGACTACACGGAGCACCTCCACTCTGCCTCCTGCCAAATTAAAGTCTTCAAGGTGCTCACTCGATCTTAAACAGGGCACGTTTGAAACTGTGCCAGCACTCACCAGTTACATCTCTTCTTCTTCTCTGCTTCCTGTTTAGCCAAAGGGGGCAGATCGCAAGCAAAAGACTGACAGGGAGAAGATGGAGAAACGCACAGCTCAAGAGAAGGAAAAGTACCAGCCTTCTTACGATACCACTATCCTGTCAGAGGTCGGTACAGGGCTGCTGTGAACTCCTAGGCTTTATGTGACTTTAACACTAACTAGCTTATAATACTAACAAGCTTCCAGGTTCAGTTCTTGTTCATAATACAAAAGACTCCATCATTGCCAACCAGTCTGAAAATTACAATGCTTTGGATTTAAGAACTAACGAACAGCAATAACTTTATTCAGAAAGCTGCTGAAGTCATATAATCCTCTTAATTCGTTGGCCGTGGTTTCTCACTGTTTCTCACATTCAAGTGTATAAATGTCAGTGACTCTGAAACAGTTACTGCGTGTTTAAACCTCAGATCATCAAAAATACGACGATCGCGTTGTGCCCAAAAATAAAAACCCTCCTTTGATTTATTTGGGGGGAGGTGGTCTTTTTTTTTTTTTTTTAAAATGTAAAAAAAATCACAGAAATGTTTGGCACTTTGCGCTGTGCAGTGGCACAGATTTGATGTCACATTAGTTTGCCAGGTGTGTTTAATGTTAGGAGAGCCGTGTTTGTTCACACGGCTGCCATCTTTCCTTCTTTCCGCCTCATTTGTTTATACCAAGTTCACCAAATCAGAGGCACGCTGCTGCTGTGAAACAACAACCGGATAACTGGTTAGTATTTCTGTGCCCAGCTATCAGCTAGTCGACTTGCAGCACACAACTGAAGTGGATTTTGTGTCACTTTGTGTGGTTTTACCATATTTTCTCAGATACTGAACAGACTTTTATTGTCAGCTCAACTGTTTGTCTAGACCAATGATTCCCAATGTGTGGGCTGCAACCCCCTGTGGGGTCTGAATGGGCCACTGCAGGTCCAGTGTGCCCAGTATCCCTCCTGCACACGTTCAGGCGGTCTTGCCTCTCTACCATTGTCTCTACACCGGTCAGCCTGAGCTGTTCCTTTGATGTACTCCCTCCTGCTCGCTCCCAGTGAAAATTAAGTTAACTGATATTCTTAATTCTCCTATATTAGAAATGTAAATGGATGGGACCGTATCATTTTAATCTGTGGAGCGTTTATATGACTAAATCCTACAGGATGAGAAACATATTTCTATTTTACTTATGTTTTATAACCAACTAATAAACTTTTGTCTTATTTCTTATTGGATTCTGTAGGATTACATCTTTTTAGGGTTATTTTAAAATCAAAAGTGTTTCTATATTAGAATCTTGTTTTTGTAATTAATTTTAAAATTGCCATTATTTATTGTTATTCTTAATTTTGGGGCTTTTTTTGCTCCTGAACTTTTTCTTGTCACTAATTGTAAAGATTTTAATATTGAAACTAAAGCTGCTGATAGAAGATCAGATTCAACAATTTCATCACTGGAGCATGAATAAATGAAAGCACAAAGGAAATGCTTTGTTAGGTATGTGTGACCATCAGTTGGGCGTTTTTACTGAAGGTTTGGGCGTGCCACTGAAAATGTTTATGTTTCAAATGAAGCTGCAGGGGTGTGAAGTTTGGGAATAGCTGGTCTCGACTAAATAGTTGTGTTAATGTGACAAAAGGGCTTTATTTTAATTTGTTCTAGCTGATTATATAAGTGAGATTGTTCAGGGTCTTCTCATATCTACACCCCCCTTAAACATCACTCACACAGATGGTCATCAAACCAGCTACAAACTGCACTCTTGGTGTCACAGCTTTGCTAAATAATGCTACAGTAACACTAGAGAAAACGGGTCTGAGAACGCAGCACAACCAAAATTACTGCAACTGCACTAAGCTTGTGACCTCGTTGCCTTTAAAATAGTTGCTTTGAAGACTGGTACAAGCTGTGCAACCAGTTGCTGTCTTCAAAGCAACTTTGTTTTCAGTTTAAGATGGACCCAGGTTAAGTTGTAAATTATGCACAATCTGTTGGTGATTAAATGGTCATCTACCTCCATAGACGTTCACATTAATTTCTTTTATTCACAGTCCAGTCAGAATTTCATGCAGCTGAAACAGAGATTCCTTCACAAGTGATGACGTAGTTGCTGCGAGACAGCAATTTGACAGCAGTACAGGAGCTCGGCAACTTTGCTTTTAAACAAGAATAACCAGAATACAGCCAGTGTTGCAAAGAGATGCATCACAGACAGGTGTGCCTATAAATTAGACTACAGTCAGTCTTGAGTCAGACTGTGATTGTTTGGAGACAGCTTACCTCCCATTCAATCACTTTGCAAACAAAAAGTCACCCAGAGGTCAAGGATGTCAGACAGTCGGCCTTAGTTGGTAGCTGCAACTACTTGCAGCAAAAGAATCACCGGCTGATTGATGAAAGTTTTCCCAGTGAAAAAGAGGATGTCGTTCTATTTTTACTGTAGTGTGACTGAGTCATAAAGCATAACATGGACAAACTGTAAATATAACAAACATAAAACCACTTATGTCAGAACATCAGTTTTCTTAACACCTCATCCAGTTCAGGGTTTTGGGGTCTGGAGTCCTTCCCAGCTGACATTGTGGGCGAGGTGGTGGTTCTCCCCAAAGATCGCCGGTTTGTCGGAAGGTTTATATCAGAACATGCGTAACATTTTAGCCGACATTCGTCAGCTTCCCCAACAGCCAGACAGGTCTGTTTCTTCCATCAGTAAGGGCTGGCCAGCCTTTATTTATTAGCATCAATCATGCTCTGCACCTTTTATCAGAGACCCAGCTTTTAATTCATTTTCACCGTTGCTGCAGTGACATAACTTCTCGCTTAGAACGAGAACGGTTAAACGGTTTGCAATTTGTTGCATAAAAAGGAAAAAAAAACCCACTTTGAATCTTTTGCAGCTTGTATTAAAATCAGTTAGTCAAGTCTAAAGAATTGCCTTTTATCAAATATATTGCATTTATTTTGTGAAATAGTGTCTCTGTGACTTTTCTGTGTTTGGCGGGTGAGGGTGAAACTCTCCTCAGACTGTTTTAAAATGCGCTCAAATGTTATTGGACTATAATTACGGTGATAACTACACCTCTGTATCTGTTCCCCACATATCGAGTTGGAGGTTTTAGTTGTTTGTGTGATCACCGCTGGCTGGTTAATCTCTGCTGTGTGTCTGTATGTAGACGAGGCTTGAGCCCATCATAGAGGATGCGGGCGACCATGAGCTGAAAAAGTCCAGCAAGCGGACACTTCCCGCTGATTGTGGCGACTCCTTGGCCAAAAGAGGCAGTGTAAGCATCCTGCTCTGCTCTCCTCTTCCTCCTCTTAATCACTCCACACACTGTCTGCCACCTTTTTTAGGACCTATTGTTGATTAGTGAGGCCGTCAGTTGCTGTTTAGGGGATGTTGTACTGAACTTGACTTTAGGCTAGATGGAGCTAAATTTCCTTCACCTGTTGTTTCTGTGTAGTTTGAGCTGCTTGTATCAATAAGTGCGCTTTCCACAGTGCTCTCCTTGGCCAGACAACGCCTACACCAGCACCAACCAGGCAGCTACTCTCTCCTTCGCCTCCACCCCACTGTCGACCTACACGACCTCCTCAGTACTGGACAGGTACCTTGAAAGTGTGTGTGTGTGTGTGCGTGTGTGAGTGAGAGAGCTTTCTGTTTTTTAGGTAAAGTGTATGCTGGTCCTAAATCAACGTCTCTGTTTTCCAGTGACTCGTCCTCACCCAATCACCAGGCAGACCCTGGCAGCCATGGCAACTCGGAGGTTAGTGAAAAGTGACACACCTGCACGAACAGAACAGAGGTGTAAGAGAGACTCGGGTGTAGATGATGACGTAATTGATTGCTTTGCCGCGTGTGTGCTGAGTCACTGTCAGGCTGTAACGACTCGGCTGAACAGTGCAGAGGCGCTGTTAATGGTTTTAGTAACATTTGTTCTGTTCTTGAAATCGCAAATGAAAACGTCTGCTGTGACGAACACCTGCTGCCGTGTCACATGATACGTTTTCCTCCCTTAATGACACGGGGTTAAGATTTTATTGAGTTTCAGTAAGTGACACAATCACAGTACTGACTGCTGCTGTTTGTTAAATCCATGTTTGTTTCTGATGAGCAGCAACATTTATTCCAGCAGATATTTAGATAACTTTTTCTGCTGTTATTACCTTTCATTTGAATTCTCTCCATGAATTTGAGCTGCATTCGAACATTCAAAGCATATTTGGTGTAGGTGACTGACGAATGTCTCACCTCCACTCTTCAGTTGAGTTTGGATCCATGACTTTTTTCCACTCTTTGTTTTATTTGAAATTGTCTGAAGTTTCTTTTCCACTAGCGCCTGCTCGATTCAATTTTACTCAGTTTTGGTCATTTTCTATTGCAAATCAGTAAAGCTCAATGTGGGTGGGGTTGTTATAGCGAGGTGGTTCTTAACTCCTGCGACACAAATGCTAAAAAACAATGGAGGACATTGAGGCGTTGGTATACATGTTGCTAAACTGATGTTAAATGTCTGCACCGCTTCATGTGTCGCCATTTCCCCTGTTTCTGGCTTTCAAAAATGGCATCACTCATGAGTCATCCAGTGTCGTCACTCCTGTGCCAATCAGTGTCATGCAGTCTGTTGGCGTCATATTTTTGGTACCAGGTACTACCACCTAATATATTACCAGGGCTTGCAAAATTTCAAAATCCCTGGTAGCCCTTGGGGCAGGCACTCTTCAGTTTTTGGTAGCCCAAAATAAATTTAAGTAGCCCGAATAAAAAAAATTTAAAAAAAGGAGGACAATTTTTTGATTGATGTTTTGTATTCGTTACAATATTATACATTAATGTATAATATTGTAAAGGAAACAAAACATCAATCTAAAAATATTTAAAACACAAATTACAACAACAAATTACAATCATCAACTCAAATATTTGGTTCTAATTGAACAGAAATTTCTATGAACTTGTAAGAACTGTGTAGAACATGAATCAGTCTGTGTCAGATCCTGAATTTGAAATTTCCACTGAAGTCACGGGTAAGAGGCAAGTGGAACCAAGATCTAGGCCATTTGCTTTTTGAATTTTGCAAAGACTGCTAAATGTTGCCAGTGGTAGTTCACAATTTGCGATTTTGCGAGCCCTGAAAACTCTAAAAGTCGAGTCGAGCTGAGTAGGTTCTAGTGGAAAAGAGGCTTTAGTGCCCTCAGTAGGGCTGAGTTGTGTTAATGTTTTGACCCCCTGTTTGCTCCTCTTTACAGCAGTTGAGCCCCACTGCCTCCATACAGGACACACAAAAGTGGCTGCTGAAAAATCGCTTCAGCTCCTACACACGGCTCTTCTCTAACTTCTCAGGTATGCACAGGCATGTTGTCAGACACACAGCGTGGTCAGGCATGGTCATGATGTTGAAAGACGTGCGCGTGTATTAGAAGTGACCGGATGTCCTCCCTTTTTATTTGTTTTAAGGTTCTGATTTGTTAAAGCTAACCCGGGACGATCTAGTCCAGATTTGTGGGCCAGCAGATGGGATCAGGCTCTTCAATGCACTCAAATCCAGGTAGGTCACACATGAGTGGCTGCTTCTGGTAAATACAAAGCAAAAAAACAAGTTAAAGAGAGACATAATATGATGTCACCCACAACAAAAACACAGCGAGTTATCTCCCATCATGCCAGCTCCAGGCTCTGTGATACACCACCCACGCTGTTTTCTGTGTATGCAGGTCAGTGCGTCCCAGGCTGACAGTATATGTCTGTAAGGAGTCCCTTGAAGAGAGCCCCCTGCTGGACAGACACAGCACTAACGAAAATGGAGAACACTGTCTCTCCTCTGGTTTACACGGTAAAGACGAACAGATGCTGCTGATATTAATCAGGGACCAAATGCCGTCTGTGATTATTATCATGACCGTGAAACCGGTCTGGTGTGTTTCTGTGCAGTGTACCATGCTCTGTATCTAGAGGAGCTCACAGCTGCAGAACTCATCCGCAAGATGGCGTGCGTGTGCAGCATTCCACTGGGAACGATCAACCAAGTGTACCGACAGGGTCCTACAGGCATACACATCTTGCTAAGCGACCAGGTACATACACACACACACACTCTTTATATTTTGAGTGTCACATTCATGGCCCTGAAAGACTCATGAAGTGGAAGTCTTTAATTAAAAAACAGTGGAATAAATGGTATTTATTCCACACACACACTGACTGATGCTTCAGGGAAAATTTGGGGTTCAAGTATACTCAAAGAAGACCCACTCTACCTCCCAAGCCACAGTCCACCCATAAACAGGAGAATGCCTCACTGTGTGCTTTAGTGGACATGGTGACTTTCAGGATGTACAATACCTCCACAAACACCGTGCTCAGAAATAGGGCAGCATGGAAGTTGTGGGTTTGAGATCTGGTTTTGTGTAGTGGTTTACACATTTGCCTAACAAGTGAAAAATACCCGTGTTGAGCCGAGGAGTGGACCACCAACCCTTCAGTTATCGATGATCTGCTCTGCCTCCTGAGCTACAAACACTCACAGCTTACAGAGGAATAACCTGGTGCCATCATCGTTTGCATCTCTTATTTGCATGTTGTTTATGGGGCTCTTTGTGTGTCACACACACTGTGTTGCTCTTCAGAGTCGGACCTGTGTGCTACCGAAACAAACCTTTAACCTGCTGAGAATGTTTCATGAGCTCCAGCGCTTCACCCTGTTTTGTTTTTTTTACTTCTCTCCCACAGATGGTTTACAACTTCCCTGACGAGAGCTGTTTTTTAATCAGCACTGTCAAAGGTCAGCAGTCTATGCTAACAGATAGAAAGCCACAACCTAGATCGCTGTTTGACGAGGATGTAATGTCTCCCTTCACTTTCCCCCTCTCTGCAGATGAGTCGGGCGAAGGACTCCATCTAATCTTGAAGTAGTGAGGAGGACAGATGGCATCACTAATTCTCCACCCTCTGTTTTGGAGCTGAAGCCTCCCTCTGTCCATCCCTCTGCCTGCCTCTACTCTTTCCCTCTTCTTCCTCCCTGTCTCTCTAAGCGATAGCTCGACGGGAAGCAGACAGACTGCGCTAAAGCCATGTAAATGTTAGAATCTGACATGGGTGTGTCCACTGTTTCATATTGAAAACATTATTAACGAAGGAGATTTAGTTCAAAGAAGAGAGACCGGTGGGATGTGGGATAAAGGGGGGAAAGTTAGCAATGTTCTATGTATTTTTATTTTATTTTTTTATTTTATTTTTCTGTCTTTTGTATGGTTTTTGTGTGGAGATCGGAGGGTGGCGGCTCCGGGAGAGGAGTGGGGGTCGGCAGGAGAAGGAAAGCGTTTCCTTATTGCTCGTTGCCCTTCCTTCACAACGCACACAACCAGCACTAGGCCAGTATTTGGTAACCTGTACTGCTGAACAGCATGCGATCTCATACTAACTCGCTTAAAGGAGAATCCCACCGTGCCCTGCTTGTTTAACATTCTCGATGGGTTTGTCTTAATAAACCATTAATTAACCAACCACGTATTGATCAGCCAAGCTTGGTAACCCCGGAAAGAAACGGGCGTTTTGTAAATGTTTTTTGTTTTTCTTTGACTTTGTCAGACTGACTGCTTTCATTAACTCTCGTCTCGCGAAGTCGTCCTCAGTGATTTACAGCCATATCTCTGTGCTGACGCGACGTCACGCCCAGCTTTCCCGATGCACGTCCTGTTTATTCTGAGCTTTTACTCATTTTACTTCGTGCTTTATTTATGGATCAGCCGTTTTTTTTCATTGAATTTACGTGTTTCTGGTGCCATACTGGCTTTTTTTTTTAATGGAGCGATCTTTAACTCACATTTACACACACACACACAGCGCATACACTTCATATTTGACTCCTCTGCTTTGTGTACTGACTTTGAAACACTCGTTCAGAGACATGTGATTCTCGGCCGTTTGTGTGCAAGAAGGAAAAACAAAACAAAAGGACGAAACCTCTTAAGAAAACAGTCAGCCTATCCTAAAACCTCCTATCACGGGGACCAAACAGGCTTTTAGATTCATAGGCTTTTTTTCTTTCTTTCTGCCTGACTCTGGACACCTTAGAAGCATTAAGAGACGATTAAGTCAAATTTAGCAGCATTGCTTGTGTGCAAAAGTAATAAACCCTCTGTTCCAGGATCTGCTTTGCAAAGAAAAAACACCAACCACCCGATATCTCATGGTTTCAATAGTCTTATTTCTGGAGAGTAGAAAACCTTCACAGCACCACATCCACCTTGTATTTTTACGTAGCTGAACGCAGGAAGTTGTCTTTCGAGTGCCCTTATCTTTGAAAAAGTGACGGGAAGCCTCTCACTGCTCCTGGGGGGTCAGTTAAGTCGACGTAATGATTTTTGGTACACAGTGTTTCAGCATTTTTGAAGTGCGTACACTTGAGCGTGTCAGTGTCTGAGTGTGTGTGTGTGTGTCTAAGTGTGCACTCGTATCATTTTTCTTTTCTTGCAAAGACTTCATTATGTCAGTTTAAAAAAAAAAAACAACAAAAAACTTTTTTCCTGTTGGTATAATGAAACCGTGTTTTAGCTTGCTAATGTAGTAAAGAGCATGTGGAAGATGGGGAAAGGTAGGAAATGGTAATTTTTGTCAGTGACTGTAACCCCTCTGTCTTTTTCCAGACGTTAGAGACCAAGCCTGCACTGAAGAAATTCACAAAATTCAAGCTTGATGTGTAGTCAGTAGTCCTACTGCCCCTACCCTCTTCTTAACCGAGAAGGAGAACAAAAAATAAATAAAACAGAATGTCGAGACTAAAAAAAAAAAGTTTTTGTCTCCCCACACGCCAGAGCCAGGACTGTAGCTCTTGTGGTGTTTTAGGAGGACGTGAGCGCCGCAGCGCAGTAAAGCTGTGGTCATCAGCTCAGACATTAATAGAGCGAGTCCGGCGAACTCTTGATTAGCAGTTTTGGTCCGCTGAAGGCCTGACCGCGTGACTGTCTGTGTGACTGTGTGTAAGGGAGTGCGAGCTCGAGAGGTGACCACTGTTGATGTACAGTACAATGTCTGATGATGATGATGCTTATGTACACAGTATCATATGCTGGAGATGTACACAACCACGTGCTGGGAATAAATGATTTCATAACTTTGCCTGGTGTCCTGCTTTATTATTACAACTGTAATGCTGTTTTTGAGACCTACATCATCCCTTTATCTTTTTTTTTTTTGTCTTTTTCACCCAAAAACTAAACTTGCAAAATGAAAATAATGGATGAATTGGATGGATGATTAAAAGTAGTGGGTTAATTTGTTTTATTTATATATTTTTATTTCTCTTTAGGTTTGACAAACACCTTTATTTTAAATTGAGTATTCTGGCAATTATGATGTTGTTCAGGCATTAGAAAGATTAAAATGATGGTCAATGATTTATAACTTAGACTTCATAGATTTGCAAATTTGAGCTGCTTCCTTTAGGGGTGACCACTGTGAACCATCTGCCTCCATCTCATCTTATCCAAAGCAGCATCCTGTCACAACAACCCTCTGCAATGTCCTCCTTCACTATCCATGAACCACCTCTGTGGTCTCCCTCTTTAACTGCTGCCTGGCAGCTCCATATTTAACATCCTTTGTCCAGTATATCCACTATCCCTCCTCTGCACATGTCCAAACCATCTTCACCCTTGTGTCTCTGACTTTGTCCACAGATGGCTCAACTTGATGGTCCCTCTGATGTGCTCATCTCTAATCTTGTCTGTTCTGCTCACTCCCAGATTAAAGTCTCAACATCTTCAGCTCAGCCTCCTCTCTCTTTATCAGTGTCACCATCTCCAACCATACGTCACGTCAGGTCTCACTACCATCTTTTAAAACTTCCCTTTGACCCCTGCTGATATCCTTCTGTCAATAATCACCTCTAACATCATCAGTGAGGCCAAGGCATGCACACTTGCAAACACAGACATCATATAGACTCCTTTCTAGGTTAGAGGTAAGCAACAGTTTTTGCAGAATGTGCTCCTGATGTTCCAGAGATAAGCGCGAAGAAGATGATCAACAGGAAGCACCTGCCGTGGAGACAGTGAAAATATATCTTTGAGTGTGTTAAAGGTCGTCAACACAGAATTGTGGTGTGCATTTTATTGCAGGACAATTAAATGAGGCGCTGCATTGACTCATAATTTATCAAGCAGATTGTGAGTACAAAACACCTGCCTGTGAGCCCCCAAAGCAGATGTTTAGGACCCAAAATCATGCAAACTCTGGTTTTCTCTTATCAGAGGCTGTATCACACCTGGGCTGAGGAGTGAATATAGCAGGTGCAAATTAATGACCAAACCAGACAAAAACCCACATCAGTGTGTCTACATTCTGGGGGATATGCCTCTTCTTAATAATCATCTTTACTGACAAGTGTTTGCACATAATTGTTTTGCCATTTTGGTGACAACGTAGAAAATGAAGAAACAAAAGAAAGGATACATGAAATTATAGAAAATAGAATTTATAATGTGTAAAATATTCAGTGCTTTTATAAAGTCTCACTGTACAGTTTGTGAAAACATCCAAATGTGCCTTGGATGACACCTTTTAGCTGCTGCGGTTTGTGGATTTCTCTGCTTTCGGTTTTATCTTTAGTAACCCAAAGGTTTTGGGGTTGAGATCAGGTGATTCGGATCCTTTCCTTCTCTATATTATCTCTCCTCATCGTTGTGGTTCAAGTTCATGCTCGTTTTATTAAATTTATTTCTAGGACTGTGCAGGCTCTCTTAGGTGTATTCCAGTTAAGTGTGATCTGGCCTTCCTGTTCTTGATTGTACCCTGTGGTTTACACCTTCTTGTAAACACCTGTTTTCACATTCAGAAGCTTTTTTCTGATAATGAGATGTCGCTCTTGACACAGATGCTGTGAAGTTGTTTATCTTAACCAAAGAAAGTATTCTGCCATCATCCAATTTTGCATTCTTCTTCGGTCTTCTAGGTCCTTTGGTGTTGTTCAGCTTCCTTGTGCAAGGCAAACTGAACAACCAGCTGTTTGTATACTATTTGTTAAATTTCCAATATCCTTGCTTATTTTGCTAAATAAGCTGTATTTGGATTTGCAGTGGAGGAATATATAAAATAAAGAAATGACCTGTTTTGGAAATATTCTTATGACTCTGCTTCATTGTACATACTCTGTGTATGAATCTAATGTTCTTTGGCCGCTTATGATATATTTTTAGAACTGTTATGTTATAATTGTTTCAGTTTCTGTTGTTTTCTTGGCCAGATCTCGTTTGAATTTTTTTCTTTTTGCCAAATAAGACTTTATAATATCTGTATATATAAAGATACATATAAGGGAAACTGGCAAAAACATAAACAAAACAAAAAACTGATTGCAGTTTCTACCTCGTGACAGTGACGTGATAGCTTTCAAGTTTCAGATATATTTGGCAGTATATAGGTCAGCAATTTACAGCAGATTAAACTCCAGGTTTTGGCGGAGTTCAATCACGGAAAAAAACATAAGATCAAAGCTCCTTCTTTCCATTTGCTCATTTCTCAGTAAAACGGTACTGAGTCTGCGCGGTGCGCCTCGGCGCTTCCCATTACGTAATTGACGTCGCTTGTCAGAATCCAGGAAGTGGTTAGATCGTTCTTGTTTGTGTCCCTGGCTCGCTGGTCCCATCTGTTTTTTCTGATTTAATAAAGCGCTTTCACGGGCCGAAATGGCTACGTTTATTTCAGTCCCGTTGAAAAAATCGTCCGAAGTGGATCTGGTGAAACCGCTGTCGAAATTCGTAACGTCTACTTACCCGGCAAGCGAGGATCAGGGAGAGTATCTCCGCGCCGTGGAGGAGCTCAACAAGCTCCGCAAGAGCGCGCTGGGAAGGCCGCTAGACAAACACGAGAGCTCCCTGGAGATTTTACTCAGGTAAAAAACAAAACACTGTTTCATAACACGTGAACCGCCTGCTGTGTAACTAACGCCAACTGTTCGGACGGCTGTCTCACCTGGGGCGCTGATTTAGCTCGGCCATCGCCGCACCCAGCGGGGTTAGCTTTGAGCTGCTAACACAGAGCTAAGATGCTAGGAGGACGTTCTCGGGGAAATAACTGAGTCATTTGTTACTCGTGCCAAGTTTCCCTGCGGGGGGAATACAGGCGGGATGTGCTGGCTGGTTTAACCGAACTGTCAGTTGCTTGTGAGGGTAAACTGGGCATGGAAAGCCGATCTTGTTCACACTTATAGCTATGGCCTTTAGGCTAAAGTGGCTTAAAGAAAACTATACCTTGTGTAGATTTAGCGTAAACACTGAATTTGAACTTTCTCAATGTGAGAAAAGAACCCGAGTTGTAAGAAACAAACTTATACTTAAAACACAGACACCTGTCGCAAATGCCTAGAGAAGGAAGCCTTCAGTGTGAGTGTTAGCAATAGCAAAATGCAGCTTAATCACGTCTAACTGGCAGTTTTGACGCGTTTGTCAGCACTAACAGAGGCTGTGTTGGTGAGAAAAGCCTCAGTATGTGTCTGCTCATCTACAGATGCAAAAACAAAAGGGAGAGAGTCCAGACCGTGCTTTTTCCTGTCAGCCAGAAGTTGCTGATGTCACTGAGATCTCCATAAAGCTGAGCATAAATGGTGTCACTGTGTTAAGTGCTTTGCATAGAGGAAGTTGGTAGGATAGATGTGATATATTTTTGTGAAACAAAGTCCCTCTGTGTCCTTGTCACCTCTATGTTGTTAACTGGTGACTTTCCTCCCGTGTAACTACACTTACTTATAATTGTTAAATGAGGCATGGCACTAATGAGGGATGAGAGAGATGTGGCACTCAAATAATCCTGAACACCAGGCTGTGGTGGGGGAGGGGGGGAGAGGGAGATTAGATTTTCCAGGGAGAGGGATAAATGTGTTTATAAACTTCAATTTGGGGGAGAAAATCAGCTTAATATTTGTGACTTTTCTTAAACTTGATGGGTTATTATATACCTGCAGCCTATGTGTTGTTATGACCGCTGAGATTAAAGTTAACTTCCAATATAAGGGCACAAAAGTATATTAGTGGGTTAGTTTCAGTGTAGCCTTTCTTCTGCAATGAATATATCTTGAACAGGCCTGTTTCTTATTCCTGGGTGACATACAGGTACGGACTTTGTCCTTTTTAATGTGACTCGTGATTTATTTAATGCATAGAGTCTGCTCACATTACCTTAGTAAGTGTCCAGGTATGCAAATTCGTGATCCCAACCTTTTGTTGTTGTGTAGGTACATTGAAGTTTGTGTTTGTTTATTTTAAGATTTTGATTTTAAATAACTGACTGGGAATAATTGATCAAAAGTCAGCCCAGTTATTTTTTTCTGTCTTGTCTCTCTAAAAACATGTGAACAAATTTTCTTACTGTGTGAGCGCTAGTTTATGCTCTTTTGTTTTCTTGGGTTTTCTGAGGGAAATATTGATAGAAGCCAATTTAAAAAAAATAAATAAAAAATCTGTCTGAAAAAGATTAATATAATAATCTGTTGGTTATACTAACTTACAGACTTTTGTGTGTGATGTGGGACCTGTGGGTTAGTAGCAGTCTGCTCAGGACCGATCAGAAGCATGCTGAAACTGATTAAGCCGCCATCACTGAATGTTAGCATTGTGTCACTATGGTGACCATTGTTTGCATAGGAACCTTTCTTTCTCTCTCGAGCTAACCAGGTGGCACGCCTCGGATCACCTTTCCGCTGCTCAAGTGTGTGTGTGCGTGCGCGTGTGTGTGTGTGTGAGTGAGAGAGAGAATAGGAAACAAACTTTGTATGCAGTTTGTTCTGTTTTAAACGCCAGTGTGTGTTTACTGATGTGTTTTGAGTTCAGGAGAGACATGTTGAAGGATCGGTAAAAGGGATTCCCTGATGTCATACCTCAGAATAGACTGCTCACACATCACAGGCGCTGATACTGATAGGACAGAGAGCCGAGGTGTGTGTGTATGTGCGTGCGTGTGTGTGTGATGTTGTTTCCTGAGTCATTGTCAGATGACTCTGAAATGGCTGAGCTTCCTCACACCACAGATGTCATAACATTCTCTACCTCTATACAGCTGGTTCATTTCAATTATGTTTCAAAGTCTCTTCATTACTTTTTTCCTAACTTACCATGAGTTGAAGT